TCACTTCGGCATCGAGGGCGTCTAGCGACGCTCGCATGCTGATGTTGACCTCGGATCAATATAGCAGATAGCTTTCGGGAAGTCCCTGAAAAAAGTCACCCCTCACTAATCAACCAGGGTTCTTATCTTCCTCTAACACTCAGAATTATGTAGATCGAGATGAGAGAGGTCGCGCCGCGTGCGAAATACTGGTGGTTGCTGGTCGCCCATTCAATCGAGTTGGGCTTCTTTTTGCGCAGGGGGAAGCGGACGAACCAACTGGAAGTCAACCATTTACGGGTCCCTCATGACGCACCAGCATTGCAGGGGTAGGGAAGGCATGAGCTAGAAAGGGATGGGAGTATGTTGCGCACAAACAGAGAACAGCTCTCAAGTTGCTCAACACGTTCAGACGAAGTAAATATTTTGCAAATGTCGGTAGCCCGTGATGCCCTAGGTAAGCTTTGTGAATGACGTCGGATGTTGGATGATGTTGGGGATCAAAGCTTGGGAGAGGCATGAGAAGAGAATCTCCCGGTCATTCGAAAAGCTCAGAGGGTGTTACCACAGATCATGAGCCAAAGCAGCAAACATAAACTTGCCCTAGAGGTTGGTGCCCCAGCACCTTAGGTGTTGAATTGCACCTTTGGATTCAATCTGGGATTAACCCCTCGGACTATTCTGCGAGAAATCTTACTTGAACTGCGACCAGGCGTCGTGCCAGGTCGGAATGCAAAAGACCTGTGCGTGCGCGCTTGATTCCCTCGTGCAGCAAGTCCGAAACAAGCTCAATTTCCGCAGATGTGCCTTTGCGTTCATAGAACTCATGTTGTTTCAGTGAGTCTGCCTGAGGCAGAGGCAAGGGACAACGTTGACAGGGAGCTCCAATTGGCGTATAAGGAATCCAGACTATGTTGCAGTTGGCTTACTTGCAACGTGCTTATGAGCTGCGCCTTAGCTTGTGGTTGGTTCTATAAATCTAGAGAAATATAAATAGCCATGGATATGGACCTGCAATTGTCTCATACACACCTTGAACATGTTACATACCGAGTTTGTGCGTCGCTTTGCGTGGCTTTGCCCACACGGAGCTGAGGCTCCGCAACTCGCCTTGTTCAACCCTGCAACCAAATCCCGCCCCGCGCTGTCAGACAATTCCCCAATGCAGTCTCTGAACGGAAGTAGTGCCCTTTTACCCTTTTTTGGGGGAGGATTCCCCTACTAAAATAGACCACAGGAAAAGTTGGCACCCTGATTCTAACCTCTCTACTGGAGGACCTAGCCATGGTTCCGGATTCAAGGCCCTCGCCAGGCGTGCTATGGGCAAGCTGTGCGCCAGAGCTGGCCGCGGTGAGGGACGCCAAGCCGGCCCCAAGGCGGGGAAAATCCGGCGTGAAGTGATCAGGTGCGGCCAATTGTGCTACAAGTCCAAACCTACCACCGACTCCCACCCAAGCTAAAAAGGGCGTGGAACCAATAATATATATATATATATGTATAACAGACATATATGTATATACTGTACAACACAGACAACAATTCTCCATATCCTTCTGGTGGGCAAATCATGTTGTTTCTGGCTTATGACGTTCTGTCAAAGTGATGTTTGGAAGAAACGTGCCTTCAATGTCGGATGTAATTGGAGTTGCAAAGCCCTCACCATCAGGAACAGGGCCGTCAGCATGCCGCTTGAGGGAGTCGGCTTCATGGTGGGAGCGTACTGCAAGAGACTGCGGCTGGGCACACTCCAAATCGGCAGAACGGCTTACGCCAATGCTAACCATGTCCGAACCAAATGGTTGTCATCGGAACATGCGATGGATGAATTTATGTGCTCGTGGACCCCTTCCTAATAACTGGCTGCTCTAACAGTTTCCGGTAAACACCATCCGAACAATGGCCAGCTCGTTGCAGGTTCGTCCATTTAGCAGATCTTCTTCGATTCGTTTCGACGTAACCCCCCTTGTTACAGTCACGCCACAGGTACCGATATGCTGGCCTGGACGTGGAGAAGCAAGCGCTGGAGGTGCACGCCACGTGTGTCCTTTGTGTTTCGGGAAGCCAATGGTGGTCTGCTTGCAAAACTGCGGGCACCCTCCACCGGCTAATGTTAACCCCGGATTAATAAACCCCTGGTTGATTAATAGGGGGGTGTCCCCTTTTAGTGGGGATTCAGACCACTTTTGGGGGGAACACCCCCCTAATGGGGCGGGTTGACAATCCTGGGTCAACATTAGTCCCTCTTGACTTGGGCTTGTGACCCCAGAAGCACAACTCTGAACATTACCCACGTGACTCGCTCGAAAAGCGATGCGGTGACTAAGGTCCCCTGACCCAATGAGGCATGTTGAGCAGAACTCATAAGCAAAATCTGGCTAGGTCGTTGTGCTTCAGTGTTTCTACTGGCATTCTCGAGTGTCTTTCCTCGCAGTTTGTTGGCTGGTGATTCCAATGTTGTTCTGACTTCGGATTCTTTAGTGAGCAGTTCTGCCAGTGGCAAGCACGCACAAGAGCTGAGGTTCATCTGTACTTGCTTTGTAATGGGTACCATTTTGCGGGCTGGTTTCAAGGGAAATCCATCGCAATCCCCAGGTCCCCTATCTTGAGGCATGCGCGTGCGGTAGTCCGAGTGACTGGATGGTTTCTCCGAGTCAGAGGCGTCAGCCGTGATTCCTTCAATACACGAAGCGAGGAGACGCCATGCTGAGTGTTGCCTCCCAACTCCCTACTTGCATCTTGGTTGAGGGAATCAGCCGTTTGTTCCCTGGCTGGGAATGCTTGAGCATTCGCTACAGGCGTTAGCAGCAATTGATCTGGGGCCTCTCTTCTGGGAGGCCTGCTGGGGGGCTGGAGTGGCGCGAGTACTTTGTTGCTGTTTTGAATTAGGAGGAAGCCAAGCGAAATCCAAAATGAAACCAGGAAACGAAAAGGAATCCCAGTGGATGTTACCAATTGGTGCTCATGCACAGAACATAGAACCCGCAAGCCATCAAGTTTTTAGGAATATTTGTGGGGCCCTTCTTCCGGCTTTCATGTGACGAGCGCCTCAAGCCATTCTTCTAATCCTTGGTCAGGGTGCTTTACAGAAAGGCATTGGGTTTTGAGGCGTGACGCTTGTGTCCACCCCCATTCCAGAAGGGCTTTGGCGACCTGTTTAACTGGGTTAGATGGGATCAACGTATGTGGCCCTTGTCAAATCATTGAAGCTTTCTCAGGACGATTACTTTGCTCTCGAATATATATATAGTGTTTGGCTGCTTCAATGTTTACGAGGGCACACGCAGAGTCCCAATTGCTCAGCGTTGATTTCCCTTCTTGGCGGGGGTCAGAGAGGTGTACCCGGACCCTGCCAAGAGGTGGGCTGTTCGAAGGTGTGAGTCGAAGGTTGGATTGGCTGAGCCCCATGTTGAAGAGCCCAGATACGGGTTTGTCTCTAAGTCTCTGTGGTTCCTTTTAAACCCCTCCTACAAAGGGTACACTCAAATAAAGACACCCTGTTGGGGATGACCCTGTTGAGGAGATGATCAGAGTGATCCGAATTATTCCAAGGCAGAAGCCTTTCGGCCCAAAGTTCTCCAGGTCCTCAAACCGTCGCATGAAGTAAGCTCATCTTCAGCCAAGCACTGGCAACCAGACCGCCCACTTGTGCCAACCAGGTCAACAGGCCCTTGGTTTGACCTGGACCTTTTTGGCACCGCCTGATGGGTGTCCCAATCAGGTCTGCGCTTCTCCTAAACACGTGTGATGTTTTTTGTTCGTAAGGAGGAACTTGGTGACTTGTGTTTCCAAAAAAAGGGGCCCCTTGTGTGTTGACGTCCAGCACCTCACATTTTTGTTTTTTGTTTTTGGTGAGGCAGTGCGCTCAGACGTGTCTGCACCCTCAGCGCACGGCAACCTGATCTCACCCATTAAGGCCCTTATTTTGAGAACCCTCCAAGTTTGTCACTGTAATCTTTTTTTGGGGGGGACTTCCCTTTGAAGTCATGCAACAAAACGAAGTCTTTCCAATGGCCACTGGGCAAGTAGAGACTTATTTAGGTTGAAATCAGCACCTGGCCAACTTCCAGCAATCCAAGTAGAAGCAGCTGGCACAGCATTTACTGTCATTTGGTCGCTTGCCAAATCTTGTACCGGGACTCGTCGCATGGATCGGCAAGATCCGCTTCGCACCAGTTGGTAGGCGGCTTATCAACCAGTGCCAAGTGGTGCGAAGCGGAACTTGGCCATCAGGGCGGCTTTCAACAAGGGCTCCTCCAAACGGGCACACCCATACTGTGCCTACCATAGATTGCCTACCAACTAGTTTAGGAGTCCCAACATGGTGAGGCCCGGAAGGAAATCACCGACCCATGCTGCACCATTGGGCTAGGACAGCTATTTGTTGTAGCATGGTTGGGGAACGGCAGGGCGTTTTTCCCGTCTCAAATAAGTTTTGTTTGGTCCTCTGACTGTTTGGCTTCTCGGTTTTGGCGATTTGGACAACCCAGCAAGAACATGTGGATCCTCAGAATTTCTGCAAAGGAACGATTCTTGCCCCTGGCGCGCAACAATGCACTTTTGAAGCGTTGGAGCAACAACTTGGTTTCCCAAGCGCTGAGAGTCACAAAGATGCGCGGCCAAGCCTGAACGTGAAGCTTTACTAGTCCTAAGTCTTTAGGTAATCTCGTCTTTCTCACTTTCTCCCAGCGCACCTTGCTGACACGCAACCCACGTTGGCTCCAGTCACTGCCTTTAACCAGCCTGTGCCAGTCAGCAGAAAACCGAGCCCATGCCTGAAGTGTTTCCCTTGGGTTCTGTTTCATTTCAAGGACAACACGGTTTGGCTGTCATCCAATTGAGAAGCACGGATCCACACGTGAGCCACAATCAAAACCCGAGTAGATGAAGGTTAGTAAGGGGAAGTCCCAGCCAGAAATAGTTGCGGCTGCCTTCTTAATTCTTTACATGGTTCTGGGGATCGACCATTTTAATAGTGGGTGGTGTTGATTGTGACTCACTTGGCGCTGGTTGTTTTCAATGCCATGGCGGCGCCCAAGTGCGCGGCCTGCGGCAAGAGCGTGTACGCGGCAGAGGAGGCGCCGCAAGTTTTGGTCTTTGCACCCCACAAGGCAAGCTGAAGGCTCAGTAGGTGGTTTTGCGGGTCGTTTCACTTCTTGGAAGCCAAAAAAAACGAGGCGCATTTGCGAGTTTCCTATCAGACATTGCCTGGAGAAATCAACCAAAGTTGTCGAGCGTAGGGTTTTCCAGTATACTTTGCAACCCAGTCAGTGGCTCACCTTTGATCGGCCCTTGGCTTGCGGAAAAGCAGTGCGTTGCTCCTTGACGTGAGATAGATTGGATTAGATTGGGCACCTAAAATACTGCTGGTCCCATGTAAAAGACGTCCACGGATACCCACCAACTAGTTCTCCCAATATATATATATATATATATACATGTGTATATATATATATGGGTATATATTCACTTGGGGTATTCATCCTTTTGCGGCGTTAGGTGAAAGCGCTGGACCGGAGCTGGCACCAGCTCTGCTTTTGCTGCGCGGCCTGCGGCAAGTCGCTGCGAGGCGGTCAGTACAAGGCGGCTGGGACTTGTATTTGCCAGCTGCTTCCGTGGATCAGTGCGAATGGAGAAGCGAGGAGTGTTTGTGTATGCGAGGGATATCTGAATAACGAACAGCACATATGCAGTCTCTACATATATATATATAGATAGAAATACATACTATACTTATATATATATATATACACACAATGTTTTATGCAGACAGGTGTGAATCAAGGCCGCTCGTAGCAGAGATGCGGATCCCTGAATGTGTTGTGTATGCCTTTGCCAGTTGAGTTGCTTGCGTATGTTTGAAACCAAGCTGGACTTGCGGGAGCCGAACATGTCCACTTCAGCTGATATCTAGCCTCACAGTTTTTGCCTGCCGAACGCCTTTCCTCGCCACAAGGCTTGAAAAGCCGCGGACAAAGAACCATTGTGAAAGCTCCTGTTCCTCGCAAAGGAACGCAGGTTGTCTAACATCCAAAGGGTCCATGACCATAGGTGTCCTTTTTAGGTGAGCCTGGTTAAGAAGAGATGGCACTGGTTTAGATGAGTTTTGTGCCATTTACCAGGGCCATCTATTTTCCCAAAGGCCACCTATGTCCAGGACCATTCCCAGCCCCGGGTAAGGCGTTTTGACCATGGCACTGGCGTCCTGCCAGCCGTTCGTGCAAAAACCCCTCAGGATCACGAGGGGCAGCCCTACTGCGAGGCAGACCACAAGAAGCTCTTCGGCCCAAAGGCTGGAGCCAAATCCGGGGGAAGAACATCCAGGTCCCCCAGTAGTGCGCTTTCTCACGGGGGAGGGTTCCCCTGGGCCTACTAAAATTGACCACAGAAAAAAGGGTATAATCTCTCTACTTGACCTAGACATGAATACCTCATCGTTCAGCGGATGTGACTCGCGCAAACCGCTTCTCCCACAAAAGGGTGACGAGTGTGCGGCAAATCAACCAAGTCTTTCCAGTGCCGGTACGGAATCCCAGTTGAGCGGTGCCAATTTCTCCACTTCTCCAAGGCAACGCCCATCTTGAGGTAGCTTCAAAGGGAAAGGAGCGGGAACGCCACCAATGCAAAGCTGGCGAAGAGTCTTTTCCGAAAGGATGCTGCAAAGTTCCGCCCGGCAAATGCGTCGCTCAAGGTCCTTTGGCCTCAAAAAATTGGTGCGTTCCTAGCCTCTTGCGGGTGGAGAGTATATAGCTGCAAATGTGTTCAATACTGTGGATGGTTGCGACATCCATTTCGCACCAAGTTGAAGCACACCAAACCAAGATTCGTTGGTATTTACAGGGGAATCATCATTCCAGGGTTTCTTAGGTGGTGCAGGATTTTTGTCCACGCACAGTATTGGCTTGCGATACCTACATGGAGTGTTGGTAAGGGTCACCCACGTGAAGACAATTCTCGAGGTTGAGCATCATCCCACTTGCACGAGTTGAGGTATTTGGGCACTGGCACTAGCTTTCCTGCCATCAGCATGGCTTCAATCTGTGGGTATATGGCTATGGGTCAAAACCAATGGTACCGTTTTGGGGTAGGTGCACCACCCATTTTAGTCTATTTGAGTGGGGATTGGGATGTTTTCTGGGGATACGGGCTTTTGACCTATGGCCATATGGGTTTGATTGACTTGAGGATACAATTGGAATGTTGACTGAAAAGGAAGCCAAGAGAAAAACCACCATTCTTGTGTGCTCCTATGTTTACACATACCCATATCAAACCAGGACCAAACAGCAACCACTGCTGTGCGATGTTCGAGGGATTCGAAACACTGCAGTGAACAGCCCCCAGCTAGGTTTTTTTGGAGTGTAGGCGCTTGCTGCTTTAGTCTACAAAGGATTGGACCCCAAAAAGCATGGGTTTCCAAAAGGTGATTCTTCCGAAACCAGTCAACATAGCACTTCAGGGCAACTCGGTTTGCGATCTCGAAACCAGATTTTGTTTGCGATGAGGGTTCCTTTCTGGAGGGGTCCATGGTCTATTTCAGGTCGACTTCTGCCAGATTTGAGGCGGGTTGGGATCTTCTCTCGGGGGGGGCCTAGTGAAAAGACATCTTTTCTCGTCTCCTGAAAATGGCCCTTTTTTCCCTGGGGCCAAAGAAACAGAAGAAAGCTGAGCTCCAAATTGCAAAAAGTCCATGCCACCTTTGCGCCGACCCATCGTGGCTTCGTTTCGCCGAGGGAATCGGTTTCGGCACTCTGGCCGACACCGGCACGGGCGCTGCGGCTCCGGACGCATCTGTGGAGAGCGCGGGCGTCTCGGTCAAGGACCGGCTCGCTGCGTTTCAGGGCAACTCGGCAACCGGAGGCCCACGCGAAATGGGCCCCGGGCTGGGCAAAAATAAACCAAAGGAACCGCAAATTCCTCGCTTTCTTGGGTGTTCCCAGCCATGCCCTTTGGTTTCTAAGTTTTTGGTTGGTTTAGTAGCCCCACTGGAATTTAGACTTTTAGCAGGATCAAGGAACAGCCCAGCTTTCTTTGCCTTTCAAACCCAAGCATCAAACGCATCCTTTTTCCCCCTTGGCCACTGCGAGGTAAACTGGCAGCTGGAGAAAGGCCAAAAGCCACTCCGGCAGTGGCCGCGCGATTCCAGTCAACTTCCCCAAAATGCCCTGCCTGCAACAAAAGCGTCTATGCAGCTGAAGAGGTGAAGGGGCTGGGGCAGTCCTGGCACGCCCTTTGCTTTTGCTGCAAAGCATGTGGCAAGAGCTTGCGCGGAGGCAACTACAAGGATCATGATGGCCAACCATATTGTGAGGCAGATCACGGCAAGCTGTTTGGCCCAAAGGGCATTGGATTTGGGACCACGCTCGGAGATACTGGAATCGCGGCTGAAACTGAGGCCCCTGCATCAGTCGAGGCTTCGTCGACAGCTGCTAGTGAAGGCTATTCTGGCGCTTTGAAGGATCGCATGGCTGCATTTCAAGGTGTTCCTATTCCAACTGACACTGACGCTTTTCGCGAACTTCAAAGTGAAGCCAAGCGAATTGGAAAACCGGGCTTAGCTTTCCAGTCAACTTCCCCAAAATGCCCTGCCTGTAACAAAAGTGTCTATGCAGCTGAAGAGGTGAAGGGGCTGGGGCAGTCCTGGCACGCCCTTTGCTTTTGCTGCAAAGCATGTGGCAAGAGCTTGCGCGGAGGCAACTACAAGGATCATGATGGCCAACCATATTGTGAGGCAGATCACGGCAAGCTGTTTGGCCCAAAGGGCATTGGATTTGGGACCACGCTCGGAGATACTGGAATCGCGGCTGAAACTGAGGCCCCTGCATCAGTCGAGGCTTCGTCGACAGCTGCTAGTGAAGGCTATTCTGGTGCTTTGAAGGATCGCATAGCTGCATTTCAAGGTGTTCCTATTCCAACTGACACTGACGCTTTTCGCGAACTTCAAAGTGAAGCCAAGCGAATTGGAAAACCGGGCTTAGCTTTCCAGTCAACTTCCCCAAAATGCCCTGCCTGCAACAAAAGCGTCTATGCAGCTGAAGAGGTGAAGGGGCTGGGGCAGTGCTGGCACGCGCTTTGCTTTTGCTGCAAAGCATGTGGCAAGAGCTTGCGCGGAGGCAACTACAAGGATCATGATGGCCAACCATATTGTGAGGCAGATCACGGCAAGCTGTTTGGCCCAAAGGGCATTGGATTTGGGACCACGCTGGGAGATACTGGAGTGTCGTCCGGATGAGAGGCATCAAGTAAGTGAGTGTTTTTGCCGGTCGGCGCGCCTTGCTTAGGCAAGATGAGAAGTGCTGCGTCAAGAAAGAGTCTTGTTGTACGGCGCTCAGTGTTGGCATATGTAAATGTAATTACATACATATATAGATGTAAGAATCTTTTTTTTGAATATAGTTGGCATTTTGGCTAGAAGATGCAGAACGAGCGACGTAGCGATATTCCTGACATGGAGGCCCTCCAAGACTTGCGCATTGCCTACAGTGGAGCAGTCCGGGAAAAGCAAGGTTGGGTTGCTTTTATTTTCCCTCGAAGGCATGCCGGTCCCTAAAATTAGTACGAATGTCCATTTGCAGCGAGACGCGCCTCGCACGTTTGAATTTGTGGCCAGGGTATTGAGACGACTCCAGAGCAGAGGCCACGGGACCTCGGCGGGGCACACTTTTCAAGGCAAAGGGGTGCAGCCTGACCCATGAAAGTTCTTGCGGGGAGCCCTTATTGGGGCTTGGTCAATGATTACAGCCGGATTGCAGGATTGGTTATGTGGTCGAATTGACCTGCTTACTTGAGGATTGCGAGGGATCAGTCTTGATTGAAAGAGCCCTGACAGCTTTCTTCGTATCCCCCTGCCAAAGACTCGAGCCGGGAATTTCGCCGGAGTTCGCCTTCCTTGGTGTTCATGTTTTTGATACCTAAATTGAATCATGTTGGACGCGAGGCACGGGAGCCACAAAGCCCCCGATTCACATTGCCCGGACTTTGTGTCAGTGTGTTTCCGTTCCCTCTCCGGCAAGAAATTATCAGCCCCAAAGCCACTTGAAGGCACCCCAAGTAATCCTCACGATCCCCGGAGATTCCGGAGTGCTACCCTCCTTTCATGGAAGTGGACGGGAGGCCTCCAGCGCTAGTCTCCCAACAGCCTCCTGTCAGCCTCCATGACAGTTGGACTTGTTTTGTTTGAAAAAAAATGCCTCTCCCGAACACAGCGGCGTTCCAACACCACCCCCCAAACACAACGATCCTCTTTAGTTTTTTTTTTTTTTTGTGTGTGTGTGTGCGTGGGTTTGGGTGTTGTGTTTGGACCCAAGAGCGGGTGAAAGGGGGGCCGGACCATGGGTGTCCTTTCTAGGTGAGTTTGTTTCGATAATAGATGGATTCCACTGGAGTAGATGGTTTTTATGCCGTCCATTTACCCGTCGAAAATTAGTCCCCATTTTGGGAACCCCGGTAAATGAAACCGCAGACTAAACCTGCGGTCCCCTTGCGGTTTAATTTGGACCCATGCCGTGCCCATCTATTTTACCCAAAGGACAGCGGCTGCCCTGGCAGGCACCTCTCAGCGGCTCGCTCCCGAGATCTTTGGCGCCATCCGGATCGATTGCATGCAGGGATCCCGGAAAAGCCGAGAAGATGTCAAGCCGGGAGCTCTGCGAGCAAAAGCATGGCCGCGGTAGCCGTTTGAACGGAAACGAATGGAAGAAAACATTGTTTTGGGGGGTCCCTATGTTGAAGACAAACCCACAAAAAGTCGCAAGACAAGGATATTCCTCTACAAATGGTTACTTTTGCATGGCTCTATGTCACTGTGCGGGAGAGACCGATTCTCATTCATGCTTGAGAAAGAAGCTCGAAAGAAGGGCCACCGTTCCCTAGGTATCAAGCAAGTACGTGCCAACATTTATGTTTGGTGTGTCTTCAGTGTGTGTGTGTGTGTGAAAAGCAGGGCTCTCCTTTCAATTCTTTTGCAGTCCTCAAAGGGGCCTTTTGTTGTTTGCTGGCTCAGCTTTCTCTCCTAACAGCGAGCAGAAGGAGCCCCTTCAAGAGGTCCTAGATACAGCCCCGTGCTGGGAAAGAGTCTTGGGCCGGGAACCAGGAATGAACCTCCTTTGAAGGGACACAGTGACTTGTCCTTTAGGGAAGCACATGAGTTGCTTGCTTGCCACAACCATGCGAAGCCATGCGAAGCTCCTGTGCGGCTTCAGCTGACACCCCCCAACCTCTCAGGTCACTGTCCAGTACTTCGGCAAGGATGTCAGCAGGCAAGAGGCCGAAAATGCGGTTCGCAATGTAAAAGGTTGGTGCTCGCAGTGTCACGAGTGGTTCCTTCTCTCATATCTCCAGTGTCTGGAAATACAAGTTATTGCAACGGAAGATAGTTCGTTTTAGTGGCAACCCAAAGTCAGGACTCTTTCTAAACAAGCTACCTTACCCATGATGTCTGCACTAAATCCGGGGGCCTATGGTTGGTTCACACGCATGTTCGGACAGCCCGAAGAGTCAGGAGACAGCTACCTTTTGGCGTTTTGGCGGTTAGAACATCACTTTGCTGTTGGGAAGTGTAAGCGGTGTCCATTTCAGTTAGGGCTGTTCAGTCAAGCAGCTGGCATTGTTTTCCTTCTTTAGCAACAAAAACAGGCAGCTCAAAGGAACAACAGGCTTTGAACCATAAATTCAATCCAGAACATGTTTTGTTCCAGTTACCCCAGCGCTGAATGCAGCTTGGACCAATGACAGGTGGTTCAATCAAACAGCAGCTGTGACATCATGCTCAAGCCAACAAAGACTTCGCTGTTCTTGCTCCTATCATTAAACAGCAAGCTCAGGCAATCAGAAGGCGGTCAACACCATACATCGTGAGGCAATCAGAAAGAATGAGAAGAACACTTGCGCTCAAGCAGCCGGCCTGGATTTTGGGTACGCAGGGTACCCTGTGGTAAGAACCGCAGGGTACGCAGGGTACGCAGCGGTTTTCAGGACATGTCTTTCCCCAGCGGCCCCACCGGCAGGCGGAGCAACTGGTGGGCAAAAGCTTCCCTGTGAAGGCCGCCGAGCGAGCCGCGGGATGATGGTTCGGCCAAAACGGGGGTTTTACGTAGTGCTTCAGCAAATTCCAGAGCCGCGCACCCAGGGGATTCTAGAGTCTGAGATGCAGTGTGATGGAATATCATGAGTCATGAAGTATGAATCATATGTGTATATATATATAATATATATATATATATTTAGACGTATACATAGATATACATACATATATATTTATATATAGATGTAGACATATGTATCGCAAAACTGGTGCCAGCTCTCACACCCATGTGTCTCAAAAGTCATGAGCCGCTTCCGAACTGTTAGCTTCTTGTTGGCCCTAAGCAAAGTCCAAAGCGGTCGATGCCCATTACGAGCTATTCCCCCAATTGTCACGTTGGTGTGCTCAACCAACGGGTCCAATGTGCTTATCAAGGGTTCAAAAAACAAGGTCCCTAGATTTCCCAAACAAGTGATGGTTGCTTTTCTCGGGGCTTTTTTGGGGACCCTTTTTGGTGGATGGTGGATTTCATCATCATTCTCAGGGCATAGTTGTTTACCTTGAAATGGAATGACAGCCTCCGGTGATCCAAACCGTCACCTTCTGGTTGGCAAAGTCAAATGAAGGCATGGAGGGGTGATGTTTAAAACAGCAATCTTAATATATGTTCAATTCCTGTTATCAGATCAAACATGTGCGGGGCGGGGAGGTCGTCAATGCTGGGATCCGCGCTATCAAGGATATATGAAGGATTAAGGCTTAGTAGAGGTGAAAACCTCAAGGTGTACCCTTTTCGACAGCCATACAAGCTGACAAAAGACATTCGGACGGCTACAGTGCTCTTGAAGAGGCCCCTCATCCATTGCCGCGAGTATTGGAAAGAGGGTGGAGCCATCATGGGTTGAACAGACGCCTGGGGAAGCGCCGTTATGGTTGGGGTTTAGGGCAGTTGCCTTTGATTCTCAAGGGGACCCCCTTCACAGTCACAAGTCAGCCCACCTTGGCAGGGTTCCTCAAAAGAGAATGACATCAAGCAGCCACCTGCTCTACGAGGGGATCCTCCATACCAAGCGGCAAAGGCGTTGTGTTTTGTTTGTAAAAACAAGACAACACAACTGGTCAATCGCAACTTTAAGGGACTTTGTTTGGGTTTCATGGAATGGGGCATGTTCCACATACCTCGGACCTGCAGGTCACCGGCTTGGTTTTTCTGCGCGGCGGCGGTCTGATGTGCAGCACCTGCGCTTGGGGCTTGGGGCGCTCGGGCCATGGGGGAGGGAGGTGACCCCTTGAATTCCATTTGGCAGTGGGTCAAAAATGGGGTAACCCCAAAATGGCTTGCCCTGGTAAATGGAGCCAAGGACTAAAACCTGCGGTCCCCTGCTGGTTTAATTTTGACCCACACCCATTTATGCTTCCATTTTCCCTTCTGTGGGAATACTGGATAAATGGAATTGGAGACCCCCGGGGCTATGGACACTTTGAGGCTACCCCTGTTCCAAGAATGGAAGTGGACCAGGGCAGGCTTTTGAACAGGAGTCTTGCAAAGCCCTCCTGTTCACTTCCATGCAACTGGGTAGTTTCGCAGGGGGTGTGGAGTGTGCACGAGCTGTTTCTTCTACTTGCTGTTGGTCAGGCACGGTTTTTGGCGAACCGACAAGGGTTGGGAAGGATGCACAATCGACATCTCCTAGGTCCCCCAGTAGTGCCCTTTCTCACCCTTTTTTCGTGGGGAGGGGTTCCCCTAAAATGGATTTCCGAACAAAAGACGGTACCCTCCCAGCTAGCATGGTTTGGTGCACAGACCTCTGTAGAAAGACCGCTTTCCTCTTGGACAGGGCTGGTCTGGTGGTCCTAGGGCTCATTCTAAGTATGGCACTTCGCGGGGCGAAATTCGCTGATTGCCACCCAGGAGTTCGCCCCTGAGGACTACGCCGTGTTGGCCAGCAACTTGGAGCCGCTGACGATGGCAAAACGGCTAACCCACCAAGATGAAGCCATGCCCTCCCCCACCTCCTCAGAAAAAAAACAGCGACTTGCAGTGATCATCCAAGGCTGGTCTTTGTTTTTGTCGGTAGTTTTTGAGAACCATGGCAAATTGGGCAACGCGAGTGGAGAAGTCCTCTTTTGCCAGAAGGAGCTCCTGCTACATTTCGCAAGCTCGTGATTGTTGCTTTACGACAAGGCCTTTGGTGGCATGAGCCGAACTGTGCCTTGCAAGCCTTCAGTGAAATTTGCCCGGCTGCTGGAAAACTCGCTGGCACTGGCCTTTCGGAACGCCGCACGGAACACCATGAACTGTTTGTCAAGGCCGTTTTGCCCACAATTTCGCCGGCCCAGCCAGCACTGGGGGGTAACCGTCAATCCTCCCGTGGAGTCGAAGCAAACGTGGGCTGCTTGCTCTGCATGCGATGTGACACCCCAGACATTGCTCAGGGGGATTCTTGTTTGGAAAGTTCCTTAGAGAACATGAAGCGTGCCTGGTGAAAAAGGCCCCCTCAAGCAAAGTGTGGAGGCTGTGTGGGAACCTCTTCGGAGGAGGTCAGGCGAAAGCCAAATAGCGAGGAGTACTTATTCTCCCTCTATGCTGCTGGGCTCGTTGATCAGACGAAGCATGGCAACTCGCAAACTGGCGCAAACATGGCAACACGCCAACTGACGCAAGAAATCACAACACGCAAAATGGACGCAAAGGAACCGCTTATTTCCCCGCAGAATGGCAACACGCCACAGGAAAAGGGCCTAGGGCATCATCTGAGTTGGGCTGCGCACTGAGGCCAAGCTGGCGGGGGAGGAATGGCGTCCCCACATCACGCCTGGGCCCTGGACGGCTGGCCGAGCGGAGGCGTTGTGTGTTTCTTTGGGCAGTTGCGTCTCCCGGTTTCATCGTTCGCAAAGGCGGCAAGTGGACATCAGAATTTGGTGTTCAAATCTACGGTCTTGAGAGAGTTCCAAGCAATGGGAGCCGCCCGGCTGCGAGGGGCAAGGGCTTGGGCTTACATGGAGAGCTCCATATTGACCTTGGGAACCTACTCCCACGTGAACTCGGCAGCTTTTGCCCTGCGAAAGCTGGTGTTTGCTGCTCTGTGTGCGTGACGCGGATTCGGCCCTGATTCCAGGGAGTTCCCTAATTCGGTGGTTTGAACACTACCGTTGGGGGGGCCTTTGACAGTGAGGTTCCTCGGGCACAGTCACATATTTCCATCAACCCGGGGTGTCTGTCTCCCCAAAACTCCCAGGGCAACTCACAAGATGTACTCCCTGAGCCGGACTTTAGCCACTTTGGCCCATGGTGAACAAGAAGTAGCCTTTTCAAGCATCGTTCTACAACAAGTTTACACAAGTTTGGTTGGCATTTTTTGGGTTGGCCAATCCAAGCACCACGCAGTCCAAAAAACCGGGAGTTCGGTCGGCGCCAGAAAGCCAACCAGAGGGCTCCTACCAGGCTGCTCTTCTCGCATCCCTGGCGCGCCCAGCACTCCAACGACCTCCTGAAGGCCCTCGAGGCCATGCGGTTTCTTGACCGACTGGAAGGTGGGGGCTGGACCAGGAGGGTTACAAGGAACCAGCTGGGTTCTTGTTGAGTGGAGCAAAGGAGCCTCCAGGGTTACAAGGGCATCGGACAAAAGGCGAATACATCGGGTACTTGTGCCGGACAACTGGGGTGCGGTCTAGGATTGGGCACCTTTCTGGCGGAGGGAACGAAAGCACGTTGCCTGACCAGCTTAGTCAGCTTAGCTGCACAACCATCGTCAATTTGGTTTGGAGTTGGAACTGAGGTATCTTTGGTAGCTGGAAACCAGGTCCCCCAGTGCCCTTCTCTCCCCTTTAAAAGAGGGTTCCCCTACTAAAATAGACCACAGAAAAAAAGGTACCGTTATTCTAAGCTCTCTACTGGAGGATCTAGGAAGCCACGGTTGCCACGGTTGCCACGATTGGAACTGACACGCGGGTTGCGCGTGCCACGACCCGCGCCAGGAAGCTGTGACCAAGGCGGCGATGCAAGACCCAGCCGTCAACTCAGCCCCTTTGGCAGCACTTAGAAGCGAAACAGCTCCTGGGTGAATATGTGTGTCTTGTTTGGAGATTGTACCTTTGTTTTTCGGTGGTTTTAAAGTGACACCCAAGGGAAAGCCACAAGTTTGGGGGGCTCCATCTTGGCAGGCAGCTGTTGGGGGTCTGAAGCATCTGACATGTTTTTAATGTTGGCAGGTCAATGTTGGCCGTATTGTTCACTCCACTTGTTGTTTCAATGTTGAGACTATTGTTGACGCAACCCTAGCAACATGTTGGGTTGCCAGGGGGGGGGGTTGCCCGGACCGAACGACGGTCACTGTTAGACGTGGGTTGGGAATTGTGCAAATCCTATGCAAATAGCAGCGAATCGTGGGAGAGTCTGGAAATGTCCACAAGTTCAAGCAGCATTCTCATTTGCTCGAAGCAGGCTCCAGGGCTGTGGCTTGACTCTCTTAGTGAGAGACCTTCAGAATGCCACCAACACTTGCATGCAGCTGTCCAGGCCGGGCTGCCTTGTATATGTGAAGTAGAGAAGTCATGAGCTGCGCTGATAACTTGCTGGCAGAGCTTCCGTGCCTGCACGGTACTGAAAGCGCAGCGGAGACAATCAGACAAAGACAAGCTTTCAGGAAGGTAGCTCCTTCAAGCGCAAGAAGACCCCAAGCCCTCTTAGACACCAGGTGTCTAAAACCACCTGTGGCAAAGTGTCAGCGTGTCAGATAAGCAAATGGGACGGCGTGCGGGGCTGGGGGGTCGGGATCGACTAGCTTGAAACACAGGTTGGCCTCGACAAGCCGTGTTCTTTCCATTCCCCTCCCCCACAGTAAGAAAGCTACCCTCACTCGCCCACCCCCAAAAAACTTTTTGGAAGATATGTTTCCTTCTAGAGAGATGGTATCCGAGCTCTTTCCCCGGCCTCTGCGGGTCGACCCCCCGCTTCCCCCCCCCTCTCGACAACCGCGACACATTTACCCTCTACAAAAAGGGAGGGGTTCAAATCCAAATCCTCCAAACCAATCCAAACCA